AGGGCAAAAAAAAACCTATACCCCCAACATGGCATAATGGAACTATTCCACTAACATTGCTGAAGTCACAATTTCTCACATGCGGCATATGTTGGAAGTTACCATGTCTTGATGTCTTGATGGAGGTATTAAGCCTCCATCGTCTGCAACGGGAGCGTCAGGCTCTTCATCAGGCTGTGCAGATTGCTCTGATGGCTCACTGCACCGCGACCGCGGTGGAGAAATCCAAGGATCCCTGCTACGCTTCGCAGGCTGTGATCCCCCAACGGATCTTCTGAGGATACATCATCTTCCTCAGGTGGTATACGATAAGGTTCACCTTCATATGCACCTTCATCAACATCTTCAATATCTGGCAAATCATCGTGATGAGGCTCATCTTGCTCATCATCTTGCTAAACTGCACCATTTGACCTAAACAGGGTAAGAAACCACTGAACTAACGTGAGGACAAGGTTCCTAAACCCTTTCATCCTAGGGGTCTCAGACACAACCAGGCAGGCTCCGAACACAACAGCAATGAGGGCGACCGTCTGACCATCTTGAGTCACTGGGGATGGTTTACCTTCGGTGTGCTGGCAATCTTCCGTAGCCCCACCTCCAATCAACTCAAGAAACACAGACATCACTTGCAATGCGCTAGCGTTGCTAATGCTTGACCGTCGAATGGCCCTCAAAAACTTCTTTGCTTCAATGGCTGCCTCTGCTCTTCAAAATTCGTCTTTTCCTACCAACTCAAAACCATCTTTCTCTCTATGCATCCCAAGGCTGTAGCATAAGCACTTGATGCGCTGGCTTGACAAGGACTTGATCATAAGGTCGGCAAGATTGGTGAGTGTAGGTACGGCGTGCAACACTGCATGATGATGCTTGTTGATGAAATCCTGGAGCCGAAGAAGTCGTCCACTAATGTGTCTGAGCCTTCCACCTCCCCGCCTGTTCATCAACATTCTTGCGGCACTGCTGTCTGCAAAGAGGTGCATTTTCACAGGCTCTGTAGGGTATGACTGAAAGCTGCTTCGACTGAAACAGTGCACGGTCGTTCCGTTGAAGAGTACGCAACCTGCTGATGTTGACTTTCTCGTGGGACGATTTCCAGACCAATCACTATCAGCAAATATCTCAAGAACGTGAGTGTCATTGGACCGCACAACTAAGCCTTGACCTTTGCCTTCAGTTTGCAAACTAGGAACATATGCACGATAAAACAAGTAGTTCCCAAGGTGGCAAAGGCATCACCACGCACCAACAGTTGGGTTTGCACTGCAACTGGCAAGTGTCTTAATGGCAACTTGACCATGTGGGAGATCAGAAGCGACGTATAGCAGAATGCCAACACATCGCGGAACACACCTGACAACGCTGGATCGAGAGCATGAGCGGCGTTCGCCATTCAAAGAATGCCTCCGCCTGTCTTGGGCTTTCGAGCTGGAAGCTGTATGCACGATGTGAAGTCTTAGTTGAAGCTGTGCGGAAAAAATGATTGAGGGAAGCTGCGGGCATCAACGGAGAGCAGTTCAAGCATGTGTAGCTTTCAGCCTTCAGCTGGCAGGTTCTGCGCACTTCAAAAGTATAGGCGTTTGCCATTCATCATGTTGCGCAGCCGCTCTGAGGTCAACATTCAGCAGGCGGAGGTATTTGCATCTCACACCCTGAACCGGGATGCCTGGCTCCCCAGGTTCAGATTACGCTTCAGTGCCGTGTCTTGCAACCTGCAGCATAGAGCAGGCCACCAGCGGCGAGTAAGCTATCAAGTCTCTGACCAGGTATGGAGTGATGACACCATCAAAGACATAATCACCGGCTCTTTCCTCTTTTGGCACGATGCTGAGAATCACGAAGATGTGATGTGAAGTCTCGGTCATCAGGAAATGGCCTGCCCGACAGGCAACGAGATGACAAATCAGCTGAGGGTGACCAGTTTTGCCATTACCACCAATGCGGGTGCCCACCGCGTGAAAGAGATTGAGAATCTATGTGTCTCCATTGCAGCATGGGCAGTTTCCACATCGGAGGCACCAACTTCCGCACATTTGTGTCATCGACCCTCGCACCGGACGTCGTGTCAAGGAGCCACGGGAGATTGAGAGACCTTTCCCCAGTTGAGTCGTAATTCATCTGGGGATACTAATTGGTAAGATTATGTCCTCCTTTTGGGGTATCACATTTTATATCAACAGCACAGTCTTACTAGGTTCAACCACCAAAAGATGTTATTCGTTTAAGTTGAAGGGAAGTAGGACACACAGCCCCAGCCCTGCCCCGTTTGTCTCTTGCCAGAACTGGGATGGTCGCAAGTGGGTTGAGTCCCACGCAGCCGCGGAGTGCCCGCAGCATCTTCATCCTACACTTCCTCCTCGTGGGTTACGATTTTCCTTTGCAGGAGGATTCTTTTTCAAGCTTTGGGGACGTGATTCAGGTACCTCTTTGGGTTCTTGGACCAGTTTTCCATGTCAAGGCCGTCGCCTGAAAGTCTGTGCAGCCGCCACTTTCAAAGAAGATGGATGGTGCCAAGGTCTCCACCTTCTATGTCGCCGGTTGCGAGCCCCACAATGCATCCGAAGGCTGCCACAAGTGGAGATGCATGTGTTGGTAACAAAGTCTGGCAAGGCTTCACCTGATTCCCAGATACAGCTTCATGGCTTGGATGATATGGAGGCAGGCAGCACAGCAAGCACTGAGCCAAGCTCCACTAGTCTAAGATGAAGACCTCTTTGAGATTGGGAGGTGGAGGGAGCCACCAACGAGGCCAGCCCAGCTGCTAGGCATACTATGCTTTGCGCTTTGCTGCCCTGCCACAGCTGACATCAGCCGACACGAAGCTGCGAGGAGCCAGAGCCTGTACCAGCAATGCCAGAAGAGCCAGCCGAGAGTGCCGAAGCTGTCAAGGCACCGATTCAGCATTCGCAAGCTTACACCTTTCCTGTTTGCAAGCTTACATTTCCTGGGTGGCAACTGCGGACTCTTTCAACAAAAGCTGTTCTATGCTGACCCTACAAGAACACAGGTGTGGTTTGACATGTGGTTGCTCGAAGGGCTAGTTGCCGAGCTGGATGGCAATGCGTCATTATTGTATACCAAATGCGCCCCACCCCATTTTTTTTTGACCTCCTCATTGGTGCAGTGCAAGATTTCCTCCACATGCTGTATTGGAACAGCAGACTTCCAGGTACTGGTGTCATACACGTACTCCACTAACAATGACGTTGTGTGAGGTGTCATCTCACGCCGAGATAATCCAACATCATGTGACATTGTTCGTCAATGCTTGCATTGCGCGACTACGAATGATACTCAGGACGCGTGGCCTGCCCTTGAACTGGAGCCATGGAAAATACCCATGACCTTTGCATTTGAGAAAGAGACAGCAGTCAAGAACTGGCGGTGCTCCACCCGTCCACAGTGACCCACCCGCGAAAAATACTTTCAAAGTTCTCATTCAGTATAAAAGCAACAACTCAGATGCTGCATCATCAGATCGCAGAACATTTACATGTTTTACATCCACGCAATGCCATTTTTTTTCGCTCTGGATGGGCACCTCAGCCAAACTTTAATGTAAGACTGCCGGCCCCGACATTACAAGTGATCTGGCCTGCGTTGTGTTGGTAGAGAATGCGCGCTGTGCTCTGCTTGCGGTGGACGGCGGCGTGCGTGAGGCAAAGGCCGCTGTTCGGCTGGCCTGAGCCGGGCCGCTCAAATGATCCCACACTACGCCTAAGGTTCAAGTCCTAGACTCAAACAAATTGCATCCAATTACCAAGGCGCGCGCTTTGGAGAATTGAGTGGTTCCGCGTAGCCACTCAGAAACAGTTCTCAGCTTCTTTGTTTCCTCTAATGTTTGTGTACCTTTAGTATTAATAATAGCACGTGGAGCTTTTACAAGGCTGCGGCCACTGCAGCTTAGAACATTTGCGGCTTTTGAAAGCCATCATGTTTCATGATCTTCGCCACCTTCAACATCACTTCCATTACAGTGTTAATTTTCCGCATCATTTGCCATCATGTGTCACAAGTTCATCATTGTTTCAATATTGTCATAATTGTCTATCATCTTTCACCAATGTTGTTCAATAATTTTCATGATTGGTCATGAATTTCATATTTCTCAAATCATTTGGGCATCCTTTTCACATTTTTCCCATCATCTTCGTCGGTTTTCATATTTCATAGTCTTTGTCATCTTTCAGTAGTTTCCATCATGTTTTTTCATCTTAATCCTTGTTGTTTGCAGGGGGAGGGGCAGGGCTGCCCGCCCCCGCACCCTCCGCTTTTTTCAAGGCCATCAATGCTTGCCGTTACAAAGAAGCATCATGTCATCACCATGTTTGCAGTAAGCGATGGCTATGCAGATCATTTTGTTTGCAAAGGGGGGTGGGTTGCGCTTCCCCAACCCCCATCCCCCTTTGTTTCAAAGCCGTCCATGCTTTACCACAGTTCATCATTGTAGATCATTTCAACATGTTTCATTGTTTTTCATCATTGTTCTTTCTTTTGGATGTGTCTTGATCATTTTTGATAATTTTCATCATCAGCATTTTTTGATTTTCCATCAGCTTTCAGCAGTTCTGATGACATCCCATAATTTTCAATAGTATTCATCGACCTCCAGTAATTTTGATGATTTTCGTTTCTTTTCATCATTTCTCATAAGTCTTCACAATGTTTCATTGTTTTCCATCATGCAGCAAAAGTAGTAGTGGTAGAACAAGGATCCAGCCCGAAAGATACACTATGCGACTGTCGACCTGGGTAAGCTCCTTCTATTGAGCATCTGATGCTGTGTCACCTCCTGTCCCTGGCCTCCAGCGGTCGGTGGGGGAAATTCTTTGTATCCAGTATCATCCAGCACAAAATGTGAGATTCAGCTTTATCCACAAAAGGAACCACAACTGCAAGACAACGAGGCTCTAGCGGAAAACCGTGGGAAGTTTAGGCTAACGCGCAAGGGCTCGGGGCGCTATTGCCGTGCTTTGATGTTGCACTACATCCAAAATGTGCCAGGTTTCTCTCCGTCTACCTTCCGGTCAGCGAGTCACTCGACGGTTTAGGCCTGATGATCAGCTGGAACAGATAGTCTGTGTCCAAGTTGGCGAAGGATTAGGCTTCCATGCAAGCAGCACGGCATCATCTTGTATTGTTGGTTCATCCGCTGACTAAGTTCGTGGTCGCAGCTGCTTTGACAGAGAAGCCGACCGAGAAGGTTGACTTGGCCACGCAGGTGCTTTGAAAATCGCAGGGAACCTGTTTCCAGCTCCTTCCACTGTTTCAGTTTCCTACGCGATCTCTCCGAGAAGTTGAGGGCGGCCTCTCCATACTGATAAGAGATGCGAAGGCTAGTGCAAAGCAAGGAGACAATTACACGTTTAGATGGCACACACGAGGTGGCTGGAAATCTCCTCATGGTGAACATCAAATCCTGCCCGGTTCTTATGTGGCTTTGCGCCAGCTTTTCGTTTGCAATGGCTCTGTCCCTCGTGCTCGATCACTGATGCCTGCAGCTAGTTTTTTCTGGCAAAAGTCGATAACAAATCAACCCTGCAGTCTGAGTCTGGCCTCAAGAGATCAAGCAGATGTAGGGAATGTGTATGTCAGTTGGTGAGTCGCACGAAAGGAAGCACAATTTTGTTCCAGAAAAGTCACTACGGGGGGCAGGGGCCTGGCCGGCAAGGCAGAACCAGAAATGTCTGAATAATTTGAAGATTTTTTTTTTCATTTTTCTTTTGATCCCCTGGTCCGGTGGCCCTAATGTCCCCTAGTCCCCTCATCAGTCCAATGGTGCTCTGGTGCTGTGGTCCTCTGGCCCCAGCCCTCCCGTCCCTCCCCGTCCCTCCCCGTCCCTCCGTCCTCTCATCAGGATTCATGTACAATTATGAATAAGTTATCATAGTTCTCACAGGTAGTACCCATTCCTCTTTTGCTAAAATAATTGCTAGTCTTGGTATTGTTACTGTTAGTACCATAGCTTTTTGGCTTCGTATTCCAACAACCTTGAAGACAATGCTCTGCAAGTTACACCAAGCTTGGCAAGCAATTGCATGTTCTCATCTTCGTCCCCCCCCCCCAACTCCCCCGCTTTTTCCTGGAGTCACATGCAACACTTGGCCCCACTGTATCAGATATCCATTCGGAACCTACTTGTTCTCATCATCAGCCAGCTTTGCAATTTTGAGTACGTTGACTTTTCCTTCCTTCCTGTACCGCAAGAGTCCAAGGGCTCCTTAGCGTAGTCGGCAAGCGATTCTTCGCTTGGCTTCTTAAGGGTAGCTGCACCTTCAGGGCATTCATGTAAAGGCGAGCCCGTCCCAAGCAGCTTGCGTTTCAACTGTACAACAAAGCCCTGGCGGAAAGCCCTGCAGCCTTGTCCTGGCTTTTTAAGCGCGATCCACATTAACTACTACGGCAAGAACATCGCTATCAGGCTTCACTCTGTAGACACCTTGATGCTGAGATCTCTGCAATGCTTCAGTTCCCGGAGTAGGACCTGGCATGAGTGGCTTCCATCCAGCGCGATGCAGTCATCAGCCGGGCATTTTACTTCAGCACCCCATAGAGCGAAATCCCAGTTGCCGCAGTTCTCTATCGTCCGCAGCTGACCAGCTGAGAGTAACTCTGATGATGAGCACGCGGTTCCCCTCCCATTCCATTGATGCATGCTGAGTCCTGGAGCAGAACTGGATCTATGGCGTGTTGCTTGGAATCAGGTCACCCAAAACTCCATTAAGCTCATGCGTGACCGAAACATCAGCAATCCAGAGCCACCGCTAAACTCCGAAGCAGGAAGAATCGTGTTCTCAATCATCAGAAGGTTGTTGGAACCCCTGTGAACTCCCAAGCGGACGTTGAGTGAGATGCTTGGAGAAGAAAACCAGGCTCCGGGTGCAACACGTTGTACAACGGAGGTTATCAAGGATGTCACCAGAGGTAATCTTCTCGAATTTGTCGTGATTCCAGCCGAGCAGCCACGTGTGAAAGCCCTGTGGTGAAAGCACAAGAACCCGAATGCCCCGGCTCTGCCTCCTGAAAGCTGCATGTGCTAGATGGCAACTGCGCTACAAGACTCGTAAGCTCCTCTTCCCATAGCCAGTGATCACAGAGCAATACCCCTCACTCACACGCGTCGGATGAAGGCCTTCAAGATTAGGTCCTTTAGCGCCCATAAAATAGAGTCTCGCATCTGCATTAGGTTCTCTTTCTGGAGATGGTGATTAGCCGGCCAAGCTGTCACCGCAGTCCTCAAGGGAATCGACTAATATGGGCGGACGTCACATACCATGTATTTAAAATATGATACAAGTGCGATATGAGGTTCCGCTCTTGCCATTTTAGTCTTCGCTACAAGCCGGCGCCATGTGTATGTGCAAGTTTCGGGGTCTCCCCAATGTAGGCGCTAGGATAGCGCTAGCGTGGCGCTAGGTATTCCTTTGATCACAAAGCCTGTGGTAACGGTCTCCAAATGTCTCCAAGGATGACATGGTATGAGCTGACGATGTTTGCGTCAGACCTGACAATGGATTTTTCCAAAACGGCGAAGACGGCGAAAACGTCGAAACGTCGGAACCTCGGAACCTCGAAACCTCGGAACCTCTAAACCTCGAAACCTCAAAACCCCGAAGTCTCGAAACCTCGAAACCTCGAAACCCCGAAACCTCGAAACCTCGAAACCTCGAAGCCTCGAAGCCTTGAAACCTCGGAGCCTTGAAGCCTCGAAGCCTCGGAACCTCGGAACCTCGAAGCCTCTAAAACTCGAAACCTCGAAGCCTCGAAACCTCGAAGCCCCGAAACATCCAAACCTCGAAACGCCGAATTCCCGATACCCCGGAACCTCGGAACCTCCAAGCCTCGAAACCTCGGAACCTCGAAGCCTCGAAATCCCGGAACCTCCAAGCCTCGAAACCTCGGAACCTCCAAGGAACTCTGCAGCCTCGAAGCCTCAAAACTTCGGAACCTCGAAGCTTCGAAGCCTCGAAACCTCGGAACCTCCAAGCCCCGAAGCCTCGGCATTGCCACGCCTCGAAACTTGAAAACCTTGAAACCTTGAAGCCTCGAAGCCTCGAAACCGAACCTCGAAACCTCGAAGCCTCGAAGCCTTTAAACCTCGGAGCCTCGAAGCCTCGAAGCCTCGGAATGTCGGAACCTCGAAGCCTCGAAAACTCGAAACCTCGAAGCCTCGAAGCCTCGAAACCTCGGAACCTCGAAGCCTCGGAACCTCGAAGCCTCGGTACCTCGAAGCCTCGGATCATCGAAACTACGAAACTACGAAACCTCGAAACCTCGTAACCTCGAAGCCTCGAAGCCTTGAAGCCTCAAAACCTCGAAACCTCGAAACCCCGAAACCCCGAAACCTCGAAACCTGTAAACCTGGAAACCTCGAAACCTCGAACCCTCGCTCGGTGCCTCGAAGCCTCGGAAGCTCGGAACCTCGAAGCCTTGAAGCTGCCGATACCCCAGAACCTCGGAACCTGGAAACCTCGAAGCCCCGGCCTCGAAACCTCGAAACTTCGTGAAGAGTCCATTAGCAGATTTGTCAGGTCTGTTTTGACAATTTGCCTTGTAGGGTAGCTGGCGTCAAGGGCATCGCTTGGCGAAGGGTTGAAATCCGCACCTTTAGGGCCAATCTCAAACCTTTTCTAGTCCCAAAGAGTGATAATTGAGTGACATGTCTTGTGCCAGATGCATACTGCCAGCGTGCAAAATATCTAAATCATGGGGCGAAATCTGCGCTAGGTTGGCGCTAGCGTCGCGCTAGCAAATATAGAGGGAAACGGCCGGCGGTGACCACTTTGCCATCTAAGTCAGAAAGCAGTACTAGGACATATGTTTCCAAAGATGGCCGGCGTGGAAGAGCTGGTGAGGGCATCCTCAGCGAGGGCTATCCTCAGCGAAAGCCTAGACATTGCATTCCCACACAGCCCGCTGAGCCCGCCCTCAGTCAGACATTGAAGATACACTTCAGCCTACGCACCTTGGGCGGAACCGCCGGAATATTTGCGAGGTTGTTGCGTATAGGGTACAAGAGTCGGCGTTACTCTTCTTTATTTGCCAAAGCCATTATTCCAGACCTTCATTTTCCTTTTCGTCATAAGGCGGCACCATGATTTTTGCAGCGTTCGACGTTCCTGGAAGGAATACTGACAGCCACCGGTATGACAGTGAAGATGGGCTAGGTGACTCACACGTGGGCTTTGAACTGTCTAGAACCTCTAGGTGACTCACACGTGGGCTTTGAAATGTCTAGAACCTCTGCTTCGGGCGCCGCAGTCCCAAACATGGACGGCGCCTCCAAGACCACAAGGGCCTGCCATTCATCATCGTAGCTCAACTCAGCACTCATTGAAAGCTCGAGCAGAAACACCTTCCACACATTGTCCATGAGCTCAATGCACAAGCGACCAACCCACAATGCAGCACATGCAAGCGCTCCCGCAGGATCATGCGTTTTAGGACCTCAGCGTCCTCGTGTGAATGTCTCGGAGAGTTCAAAGGGACGCGTATGCTCATGCCAAGCGCGCTCGAGGTTTTGGTTGCTGTTCACATGCAAGAATACGGCAGCCGTCTGCAGTTCGGCGAAGCTGCAAGTCGCAAAACTATATCCTGTGCCGGGTCGGTTGGAAAATCATCCCATCGCCTTAGAGAGATCTGTGCTGCCAGGTTTGAGCGCGGAGCGCGGTCAGGTCTAAGCGAGCGCCTGCGCAAGTGCAAGGCCCTGTTCGTGCAACGTGCCCGCAAGTGGATCCCAAGCTTCTGCGTGCTTTCGGAGCACACTCCAATTTGCAATAAAAAGCACCACTCTCGCCCGTCATATTGTCGGTGATTGGCCTCGCTGGATGGAACCTGGCGAGCGCGTGCTCCTCCGTGCAATGACGAACGACTCCTTTGAGATGCTCCGCCAGAATTGTCGGCTTGAACATCTATGTGCATTGTGACATGAATGTGATCGAGCCTGTCTGAGTCCGCAGCCAAGCGGGCTCAGGCAGGTTCGCCTTCGTTGCCATTTTCTGATTCGTAGCCATTTGGATTCAAGCGCAGCGGGCTCTGGCAGGTTCGCCCTTATTGCCATTTTCTGATTTGCTTCGGGATGGCGCGCGCTGCAAAGGCGTGTGGCGCGAGCAGTGTTGGGTGAGCTTGCTGCGCTGGCGAGGGTCCCTCTGGATGTTTATTGTGATCGGGCACTTGAGGCGTCTGCCGTGACTTGATGGAGATGCATCGGGTATCTCGCGCCCCCCTCGCGTGTAATACAATCAGTAGCAGTTGTGGAACTTCACTTATTGATTACAGTCTGCGATGTGTTGACTTGTAGGCACTATCGGAGTGCAGACAGCATGGATATATGCAGGAATTTCTTTTCTGCCAAAAGTCTGAACTCTGTAGTATGCGCGTCCACAGAATGCTAGTGATAGTTGATGTGCGATGAGGAGTGGCAGCGTGGCAGTTCCAGCTTTTGTTGGGAGAGATCGATTGTCTCGTCTTAACAGGCTACTGCTGACTTGCC